GTTCAAGCAATTCTCCTGCCTCAGCGTCCCGAGTAGCTGGGGCTATAGGCATGAGCCACCACGCCCGGCTAATTATTGTATTTTTAGTAGAGACGGGGTTTCCACATGTTGGCCAGGCTGGTCTCAAACTCCTGACTTCAGGTGATCCACCTGCCTCGGCCTCCCACAGTGCAGAGACTTGGTCTCCCTCTAGCACCTCCCCTAGAGGAGATCTTAGAGGCTGGACCAGAAGACTGGGGAACATTCTCCTCCCTCAAACACCCATCTGGGCCCCTTCAGTTCCTTCAGCCTTGCACCTCCACCCCCTCTGATCTCCAGCCCTGGCAGATCTCCTGCCATCCCCTGCTCTGCCTAAGTGCTGATCACGTGAGCCCTAATGCTTCCTCCTAAGGGCTGGAGGGCAACTGATTGCTACAAGGGAGAAAAATCCTCAGGCCAGAGAGCTGAGCCACTAGACTCCTGGGTCCTGAGGTGAGCCTGGAGCAGAGGTTTCAGAAATATCTTCTCACCTCACACCCCTTGGGCTGCCTCCTGTCACTTCTCGGGGTCTTTGAGTCTCCTCTGCACTCAGAAGCTCCCAGGGAGAACCAGCCAGACAGGGCTCAGGACACTTCCAGGCAAACCTCCGCTCCTCCCGCCCTGACCAGTTAACACGACACTTATTCTACATTAAATACCAATTGGACCAATTTTCTGCTGTAATTAAAACCTCTGCAGACGTGTTCCCTGCTCAGCAGTGATGAGTTTATTAACCTCCAGCTCTGAAGGAATGCGGGGGCAGGGAAGAGGGAAGGAAGAAGAGTGTTTTCCAGATTAGGAGATTGGGGGAGAGGGTAGGGTTGGAGCTGTGGTGTCTCCTTCTTGGGCTCTGAGCAAGAGACAGACGTCACTGCAGTCCAGCCTGGGTGACAGAACAAGACTGTATATAAAAAAAGAAATACTGCAAATATCTACTCCACCACCCTGCCCTGCTACAGAACGAGGACTGCCATTCCATAATCAAGTGTGTTTTATAGTCCTACTTACCAAACGATTGGCAGACAGCATGTCCTCAGTCTGGAAATACAGTCTCTTTCAGTTCAACAATCTGGCCTTGTATGGGATCACTTGTCAGGCAGCGTAACTTAGGTTAATCTGACTATTACATATTAGTAATAGTATCTCCACTGCATAGTTGGTGAAACAGGCACATGCCTCCATGCCCAGATAATTTTCTCCTCCGGGCCGGACACAGATGGAGGCATGTGCAAAAGCATTGACATATGTTTGCAGCTTCTGCAGTAGCGACTTGGAAATATCTAACCCCACCACCCTGACCTCGGTTTCACAACTGAGGTCCAGTTGACATATGAACCTAGGTGAGGCCATGAAAGGTTCATAGCCTGCAGCCGTAGAGGCTGGGAATCAATGCCTAGGACTTCCCCGGCAGCTCAAGGAGTCAGTTTATTTCTGTTAACTAGAGATCACAGAATTATCACGTTCTCTTTCTCTCTCTCTCTCTTAAGAGACAGGGTCTCACACTGTCATCCAGACTGGAGTGCAATGGTACAATCCTATTTCAATGCAGCCTCAAACTCCTGGGCACAAGCAATCATCCCACTTCTTTTTTTTTTTTTTCTTTTTTGAGATGGAATCTCGCTCTGTTGCCCAGCCTGGAGTGTAGTGGCACAATCTCAGCTCTGCAACCTCTGCCTCCCAAGTTCAAATGATTCTCCTGCCTCAGCCTCCTGAGTAGCTGGGATTACAGGTGTGTACCATCACATCCAGTTAATTTTTGTATTTTTAGTAGATGGGGTTTTACCATGTTGGTCAGGCTGGTCCCAAACTCCTGACCTTGTGATCTGCCCACCTCAGCCTCCCAAAGTGCTGGGATTACAGGCATGAGCCACCATACCCAGCTTCAGCCTCTTAAGTAGCTGGAACTACAGGCACATGCCACCATCTTTGTAGAGATGGGGTCTTGCTATATTGCCCAGGCTGGTTTTGAACTCCTGGGCTCAAGCAATCCTCTTGTCTCAGCCTCCTGAGTAGCTAGGATTACAGGCGTGAGCCACTAGACCCAGCTTCTATCACCTTTCAAACCTCCTCCGTTCCAGCCACAAGCCACTCTGGCCAAGCATGGTGGCACATGCCTATAATCCCAGCACTTTGGGAGGCTGAGATGGGCAGGTCACTTCAGGTCAGGAGTTGAAGACCAACCTGGCCAACACAGTGAAACTGCATCTCTACTAAAAGTACAAAAATTAGCCAGGCATGGGTGGCACACACATGTAGTCCCAGTGATTTGGGAGGCTGAGGCAGGAGAATTGCTTGAACCCAGGAGACCGAGTTTACAGCGAGCCAAGATCACACCACTGCAGTCTAGCATGGGTGACAGAATGAGACTCTGTCTAAAAAAAAAGAAACAGAAAAAGGAAAAAAAAGCCACCCTATCTTTTTGTTATTAATACACTTCACTTGTTACAGCAATTTTAAGTTCTCAGCAAAGTTATACAGATAGCGCGGCTTCCATGTACCTGCTCTATCCCCTCCCCCTTCTCCTGTTATTTATTTTTAGAGACAGCGTCTTGCTCTGTCACCCAGGCTGGATTGCAGGGGCACCATCACAGCTCACTGCAGCCTTGACCTCCCTAGCTCAAGTGATGCTCCCATGTCAACCTCTCAAGTAGCTGAGTTGATGAGGTCTTGCTTTCTTGCCCAGGCTGGTCTCAAACTCCTGGGATCAAGTGATTCTCCTGCCTCGGCCTCCCAAAGTGTGGAGATCACAAGCGTGAGCCACTCCCGCCTTGCCCTTTTTCCTATTATTAATATTTTGCATTAGTGTGGTAGATTTTTTACAACAGAGGAGCCAAGATTGATAATTATTATTAACCAAGGTCTGTGGTTTACACTCGGGTTCACTCTGTGTTGCACCGTCTATGGTTTTAACAAATGTGTGACATATATCCACCATTACAGTATCATACAGAATAATTTCACTGCCCTAAAAATCTCCTGCACTCAACCTATTCATTCCTCCTCCTGCACCCCTGCGACCACTGATCCTTTCACTGAATCCATAGTTTTGCCCTTTCCAGAATGTCACAGAGTTGGAGTGATACCGTCCATAGCCAGGCTCGGTGGCTCATGCCTGTAATCCCAGCACTTTGGGAGGCCGAGGCAGGTGGATCACTTGAGGTCAAGAGTTTGAGACCAGACTGGTCTACACAGTGAAACCCCGTCTGTACTAAAAATGCAAAAGATTAGCTGGATGTGGTGGCGGGCACCTGTATGTAATCCCTGCTACTTGGGAGGCTGAGGCAGGAGAATCACTTGAACCCGGAGGCAGAAGTTGCAGTGAGCCGAGATCATGCCACTGCATTCAAGTCTGGGTGACATGGTGAAACTCCGTCTCAAAAAAAAAAAAAAATTCTGATATGGTCCATACATACGGCCTTTTCAGATTGGCTTTTTCCATTTAGCAGAACTCATTTCAGATTCTTCCATGCCTTTGCCTAGCTCATAGCTCATTTCTTTTTCTTTTTTTTTTCTGAGATAAAGTCTCACTGTTACCTATCCTGGAGTGCAGTGGTGTGATCTCGGCTCACCACAACCCCCACCTCCTGTGTCCAAGCGATTCTCCTGCTTCAGACTCCCGAGTAGCTGGGATTACAGGCGTGTGCCACTACACCTGGCTAATTTTTCTGGATTTTTAGTAGAGATGAGGTTTCACCATTTTAGCCAGGCTAGACTCAAACTCCTGACCTCAGGTGATCTGCCCACCTTGGCCTCCCAAAGTGCTGGGATTACAGGTGTGAGCCACCATGGCTGGCCATTCTTTTTATTTTTGTAAATTTTTTCTGAGATGAGATTTCACTATCATGGAGGCTGGAATGCGGCTGGGCAGTCACAGCCCACTGCAGCCTCGGACTCTTCGGTTCAACACATCCTCGCACCTGAGCCTCCAAAGTAGCCGGGACCACAGGTGGACATCACCATGTCTGGCTAATTTTTTTTTTTTTTGAGACGGAGTCTTGCTGTTGCCAGGCTGGAGTGCAATGGTGAGATCTCAGCTCACTACAACCTCCACCTCCTGGGTTCAAGTGATTCTCCTGCCTCAGCCTCCCGAGTAGCTGGGACTACAGGTGTGCACCACCAGCCCCAGCTAATTTTTGTATTTTTAGTAAAGACAGGGTTTCAGCATGTTGGCCAGGATGGTCTCGATCTCCTGACCTTGTGATCCACCCGCCTTGGCCCCGCAAAGTGCTGGGATTACAGGTGTGAGCCACCGCGCCCCACTGCTAATATTTTTTTGTACTGCTTGTAGAGATGGAGTCTCACTATGTTGTCAAAGCTGGTCTCAAAACTCCTGAGCTCAAGCAATCCTCCTACCTCAGCCTCTCAAAGTGCTGGGTCACAGGCTTGAGCCACAGCACTCTGCCCTGCTCATTTCTTTTTATTACCAAGAATTCTCCATTCTTTACTTTGTAACATCCCCTTCATTCACTAGGGCTCAACTCTGTCCTCCAACTTTTATTGCTTTGTGGGGAGGAATGCAAGCAAAGAGACACAGGGAGGCAATGACCTCCTGGAACCAGGAAGCCGTGCTGGACATCTGGAATGGAGCTGGATTTCTGCTGTGGCTCAGGAGCACGTCCAGGTACTCCTTCCGACGTGTTACCATGTCTCGAACCCTGCAGCCAACGCTGCCATTTGTCACCTTTTTGAATGTGTTGGATGGTCTGTTAGCCCATCTGCCTCTTGTTTTCCCGTGCATTTCAGGCGCTGGAATTCTGGTAACTTCTGCACATCTCAGATTCTGTCGCCATCCGGGCTGCAGGGCGGATTCTACATGCGAGAAGCATCGGCTCACCGGGTGGCTCACACCTGGAATCCCAGCACTTTGCGAGGCCAAGGCAGACGGGTCACTTGAGCTCAGAAGTTGGAGGCCAGCCCGGGCAACATGGTGAAATCCCATCTCTATCAAAAATACAAAAACTTAGCAGGGTGTGGTGGCACATGCCTGTAATCCCAGGTACTTTGGAGGTTGAGGTGGGAGGATCACTTGAGCCTGGAAGGCAGAGGTTGCAGTGAGCTGAGATCACACCATTGCACTCCAGCCTGGGTGACAAGAGTGACACTCCATCTCAAAAATAAATAAATAGAGAACATGTGGCCTGCAAAGGCAGAATTACTTATTTTTATTTATGTATGTATTCATTTATTTATTTAGAGATGGAGTCTCGCTCTGTAGCCCAGGCTGGAGTGCATGCAATCTCGTCTCACTGCAATCTCCAACTCCCAGGTCACAGTTCAAGAAATCCTCCTACCTCAGCCTCCCAACTAGCGGGGATTACAGGCACGAACCACCATGCCCAGCTAATTTTTGTAGTTTTTAGTAGAGATGGGGTTTCACCACGTTCAGTTTGGTCTTGAATTCCTGACCTTGTGATCTGCCCAACTCGACCTCCCAGTGCTGGGATTACAGGTGTGAGCCACCGCACCCAGACTATTTGTTTATTTAGTCTTGCTCTGTCATGCAGGCTGGAGTCAGTGGTGAAATCTCAGCTTACTGCAACCTCCGCCTCCAGGGTTCACACAATTCTCCTGCCTCAGTCTCCCGAGTAGGAGAGACTAAAGGTGCACCACCATGCCTGGCTAATTTTTTTTTTTGTATTTTTGGTAGAGATGGAGGAGGGGGGGTCACCATATTGGTCAGGCTAGTCTCGAACTCCTAACCTCGTGATCTAGCCGCCTCAGCCTCCCAAAGTGTTGGGATTACAGGCGTGAGCCACCATACCTGGCCCAGAAATATTTAGATTCTGATCCTTGATGGAAAAAGCTTTCCATCCTCTGCCCTAGATTTTATCTGATCATTCCCACAATGAATAAGTTAGTTCTAGGATCTGGAGCAAACATGTCTGTATTCGTCTGTTTTCACACTGCTATAAAGAACTACGTGAGTGTGGGTGATTTATGAAGAAAAAAGGTTTAATTGACTCACAGCTCTGCCTGGCTGGGGAGGCCTCAGGAAACTTACAAAAAGTGAAGGGAAAGCAAGGCACGTCTGACATGGAGGCAGGAAAGAGAGAAGGGGGAAGTGCCAGACACTTATCAAACGACCAGATCCGGGGAGAACTCACTATCAGGAGAACCGCAACGGGGAACCACTCCCTCCATCTCCCACCAGGTCCCTTCCTCCACATGTGGGGATTACAATTCTACATGAGGTTTGGGTGGAGACACACTCAAACATGACAGTGTTCTTTCTCTAAGCCTCCATGTTCTCCTCTGTAAAATGGGGTAAGTGGCCCCTACTTGCTGCACGAGCTTGCTTTGCAATTAAAATTGAGCCAGGCACAGTGGCTCACACCTGTAATCTCAGCACTCTGGGAGGCTGAGGCGGGTGGATCATGAGGTTAGGAGTTTGAGACCGGCCTGACCAACATGGTAAAACTCGGTCTCAAGTAAAAATACAAAAATTAGCCAGGTGTGGTGGCGAGTGCCTGTAATCCCAGCTACTCGGGAGTCTGAGGCAGGAGAATCGCTTAAAACTGGAAGGCGGAGGTTGCAGTGAGATTGGGCCACTACACTCCACCCTGGGCAAAAGAGCAATTCTCCATCTCAAATACATACATACATAAGTAAATAAATATTGCATGTCATGGGCCAAGGGACTTTGAAAGTGGGACAGCTCCTGCAGGTGCCCCTGGCTGGAGTCACAAGATCCAAAGCCCCCAGTAATCCTGACATCTTTCTTTTCTTTTCTCTTTCTTTTTGTCTCTGTTTCTTTCTTCCTTTTTTTTTGAGACGGAGCCTGACTCTGTCACCCAGGCTGGAGTGCAGTGGTGCGACCTGGGCTCACTGCAACCTCCGCCTCCCAGGTTCAAGCGATTCCCCTGCCTTAGTCTCCTGAGCAGCTGGGATTACAGGCTCCTGCCACCATGCCCAGCTAATTTTTGTACTTTTCGTAGAGACAGGGTTTCACCATGTTGGCCAGATTGGTCACGAACTCCCGACCTCAGGTGATCTGCCTGCCTTGGCCTCCCAAAGTGCTGGGATTACAGGCATGAGCCACCGTGCCCGGCCCTTTTCTTTTTTTTTTTTTTTGATATTATCTTTTTACAGCGGTCCCGGGGCTGGGTGACCCGGCCCAGGCGCGCCCCTTTTCTTTTTTTTTAGTGGAAATGGGATCTTGCCATATTGTCCAGGCTGGTCTTGAATACCTGGACTCAAGCAATCCTCCCTCCTCAGCCTCCCAAAGTGCTGGGATTACAAGCATGAGCCACTGCACCTGGCCACCTTTCTCAGTTCTGCCTTAATGTCTCACGTGGCTGTATTTCTTTTCTCCTATGCATTCTTTCCTCCTCCCTCTCTTCTTGCTTTTCTTAACTTGAGAAAGAGTCTCACTCTGTCACTCAAACTGGAGTACAGTGGTATGATCTTGGCTCACTGCAACCTCCGCCTCCTGGGTTCAAGTGATTCTCCCACCTCAGCATCCTGAGTAGTGGGACTAGAGACTCATGCAGCCATGCTCGGTTAATTTTTATATTTGTTAATAGAGACAGGGTTTCACCATGTTGGCCAGGCTGGTCTGAAACTCCTGACTTCAAGTGATCCACCCGCCTCAGCCTCCCAAAGTGCTGGGATTACAGCGTGAGCCGCCGCGCCGGCCTCTTCTGGCTTTCTCCTTCTCACGCCTCTGTCTTCCCTTCTGGTTCCCTCTCCCGGCCTTCTCCGCACCTCCTCCACTGCCACTTGCTCTCTTCAAACTCGGGGATGAGAGAAAGTTCCGGCCGAAATTGCAATCTCCTCTCCTCTCATGTGGCTCTGAGATAAGACAGTAAAAATCCGATTTTCAGCAATTTGCTTCATTTGTGAGCTCTCCGGAGTCTCTCGTTTTCCCCCTGACACGGGCTTAGCAAAATTGCCTGGGCAGAGTGGATATTTTTAACCACTTAGTAGTCAGAGCGACTTCAGAGAAAGTTTTGCAAGAAACCGGTCCAGGTCCTGTGCCTGGGGCTGCTGGCGGGTTTGGGGCTGGAGGGAAGCATGTGGGGTCGCCTCAAGGGGCTCAGTGGAAGGGCATTTAAGAAAAGGATGTGGCCAGGCACAGTGGCTGCCACTTGTAATCCCAGAGGTTTGGGAGGCCAAGAAGGGTGGATCACTTGAGGTCAGTAGTTCAAGACTAGCCTGGCCAACATGCTGAAATCCCGTCTCTACTAAAAATACAGAATATTATCTGGGCGTGGTGGTGCGTGTCTGGCCTGTAGTCCCAGCTACTCAGGAGGCTGAGGCAGGAGAATCAGTTGAACCTGGGAGGCCGAAGCTGCAGTGAGCTGAGATCGTGCCACTGCACTCCAGCCTGGGCGACAGAGCAAGACTCCATCTCAAAAAACAAGAACAAAATAAACAAACAAAAAGCCATTCTGGGGACCAAAGGCATCTCCTTCCCAAAACCAAAGGGGGTGTGGGAACAGTGAACATTTATTGAACACCTGCTATGTACCAGGCACACGCTAAGTGCTTTATGTGTATGACCTCATTGCATCCCCACAAAAGTCAATGAAGGACGCCTTTTTCTTTGTTGGCAGCTGGGACAAAAACCAAAAGCACAGTGGCTCAAGAAATAAAGATTTCACTTATTAATACGGAATCAGGGTCTTGCTCTCTTGCCCAGGCTGGAGTGCAGGGGCACAATCATGGCTCACTACAGTCTTGACCTCCCTAGGTTCAAGCGATCCTCCCACCCCAGCCTCCCAAGTAGCTGGAACTACAGGCGTGTGCTACCACACCTGGCAAATGCTAAAGTTTTTTGTAGAGATAGGGTCTTGCTGTGTTGTCCAGGCTGGTCTTCTTAGCCTCCCAAAGTGCTGGGATTACAGATGTGAGCCATCATGCCTGGCCCAATTTAGATTGCTTTTTTCAGATGGAGTCTTGCTCTGTCACCCACAGAGCAAGAATTCTCTCTGCCACAGCCTCTCAAGTAGCTGGGACTACAGGCACCTGCCACCACCCTGGCTAATTTTTTTTTTTTTTTTTAGTAGAGCAGGGGCTTCACCATGATGTTGGCCAGGATGGTCTTGATCTCCTGACCTCGGATTCCAACCGCCTCGGCCTCCCAAAGTGCTGGGATTACAGGTGTGTGCCACCATGCCCAGCTAATTTTTTTATTTTTAGTAGAGATGGGGTTTCACCACATTGGCCAGGGTGGTCTTGAACTCCTGACCTCAAGTGATCCACTTCAGCCTCCCAAAGTGCTGGGATTCCAGGAGTGAGCCACTGCGCCCGGCCCCAATTTAGATTTTAAAGAAATCACTCAGGCTGCTAAACCTTATGTTGCTCTCAGCCCCGAGAGCGTTGAGACTTGGGTTTTCCTGATCCCAGGCTTCCTGGGTATAGTTTTCCACCCATGTTCCCTCATCCATTCTTTCTTCCCTTCTACAGATTTTCCCCTTCTCTGTTCACCAGGAACATTTATGCAACAATGTCACATCACTGACTACCAGAGCTGAATGTTGATAAAGAGGATGCTAAGATGGACATTTCAACCAGGCAGACACAAGGACTAGCAGCAGAAGCCAGACCACAGTGAATATCTCTCTTCCTTCCCTTCCTCCCTCCCTCTCTCTTTCTGAGACTCTTGCTGTTGCCCAGGCTGGAGTGCAATGGCCAATCTCACCTCCCTGCAACTTCCACCTCCTAGAGTCAAGCGATTCTCCTGCCTCAGCCTCCTAAGTAGCTGGGATTACAGGCGCACACCACCATGCCTGGCTAATTTTTTTTCTTTTTTTTTTTTTTTGAGACGGAATCTCACACTGTCACTGAGGCCAGAGTGCAATGGCCCAATCTTGGCTCACTGCAACCTCTGCCTCCTGGGTTCAAGCTATTCCCCTGTCTCAGCATCCCGAATAGCTGGGACTACAGGTGTGTGCCACCACACCTGGCTAGTTTTTTCTTTTTTACTAGAGGCAGGGTTTCGCCATGTTGGCCAGGATGGTCTTGATCTCCTGACCTCATGATTCACCCGCCTTGGACTCCCAAAGTGTTGGGATTACAGGCATGAGCCACCATACTTATTTCTTATTTCTCTGTAGAAATAATACATACTTATTTCTCTGTAGTGAAAACAACTTGTTTTTTTTAGAGAAAGGGTCTCTAAAATACTTCCCAGGATGGTCTTGAACACCTGGGCTGAAGTGATCCCCCCCATCTCAGCTTCCCTAAGTGCTGGGATTACAAGTGTGAGCTACCGCACCAGACCTTGTAATGAGACCATTTAAAATCCATTCATTTCACAAGTTTGAAATATACATTTTGATTAGCTATAGCCACCCTGCTGTGCAATAGATCACCAGGACTTACTCTTCCTGTCTAATGGAAACTCTGTATCCTTTGACCAACATTTTCCCTTTCCCCTTCCCAGACTCTGGTAACCACCATTCTACGCTCTACTTCTGTAAATGGGCTTTTTGGGTTTTTTTAGACAGAGTTTTGCTCTTGTTGCCCCCGTTGGAGTGCAGTGGCATGATCTTAGCTCACTGCAACCTCCACCTCCTGGGTTGAAGTGATTCTCCTGCCTCAGTCTCCCAAGTAGCTGGGACTACAGGCGTGCGCCACCATGCCCAGCTAATTTTTTGTATTTTTAGTAGAGACGGAGTTTCACCATGTTGGTCAGGATGGTCTCAAACTCCTGACCTCATGATCTGCCTGCCTCAGCCTCCCAAGTAGGTGGGATTACAGACATGCCCCACCACACTGGGCTAATTTCTGTATTTTTAGTATAGCCGGGGTTTCACCATGTTGGCCAGGCTGGTCTCGAACTCCTGATCTCATGATCTGCCTGCCTCTGCCTCCCAAAGTGCTGGGATTACAGGTGTGAGCCACTGCGCCTGACCTGAATATGGCTTTTTTTTTTTTTTTAAGATTCTGCATAAAGTGAGATCATGCACTATTTGTCCTTCTGTGCCGGGCTTACTTCACTTCGAATAATGTCCTCCAGATTCATGCCCATTATTGCAAATTACAAGATCTCCTTCTTTTTTGAGGCTGAACGGTACTCCATTGTGTGCATGCACCACACTTTCTTTACCCATTCACTCCTTCATGATGGACACTTAGGTTTCTTCCATAGCTCGGCTGTTGTGAATAGTGCTGCAGTGTACTTGGGAGTGCAGATAGCTCTTCCAATACTGATTGCATTTCCTTTGCATGTTACTTGGAAGACAAATATCTTTCTCTTTTTTTTTTTTTTTTTTTTTTTTGAGACAAAGTCTTGCTCTTGTTGCCCAGGCTGGAGAGCGATGGCTCAATCTTGGTTCACCACAACCTCCGCCTCCCAGGTTCAAGCGACTCTCCTGCCTCAGCCTCCTGAGTAGCTAGGATTGCCAGCACCCACCATCACGCCTGGCTAATATTTTTGTATTTTTAGTAGAGATGGGGTTTCATCTTGTTAGCCAGGAATAGTCTTGATCTTGTGATCTGCCCACCTCGGACTCCCAAACTGCTCAGATTACAGGTGTGAGCCACCATGCCCGGCCTCTTTTTTGTGTGTGTGACAGAGTTTCACTCTTGTTGCCCAGGTTGGAGTGCAATGGCTCAATCTCGGCTCACTGAAACCTCCAACTCTCAGATTCAAGCAATTCTCCTGCCTCAGCCTCCAAGTAGTTGGGATTACAGGCACCCGCCACCACGCCCAGCTAATAATTTTGTATTTTTCGTAGAGATGGGGTTTCTCCATGCTGGTCAGGCTGGTCTTGAACTCCCAACCTCAGGTGATCTGCCCGCCTCAGCCCCCCAGAGTGCTGGGATTACAGGTGTGACCCACTGCACCTGGCCTCTTTTTTTTTCTCTTTTTCTACAGGATCCTACTCTGTCACCTAGGCTAGAGTGCAGTGGCACAATCTCAGCTCACTGCAACCTATACTTCCTGGTTCAAGTGATTCTCCCACCTCAGCCTCCTGAGTAGCTGGGATTATAGGTGCATGCTATCATGCCTAATTTTTTTATTTTTTTAAAAGTAGAAATGGGGTTTCCCTGCCCAGGCTGGTCTTAAACTCCTGACTTCAAGTGATCACCCGCCTTGGCCTGAGTCAGGAGAATCGCTGGAACTCGGGAGGCAGAGGTTGCAGTGAGCTGAGATGGCCCCACTACAATCAAGCCTGGGTGACAGAGTGAGACCTTGTCTCAAAAAAAAAAAAAACAAAACAAAACAAAAAGGCCAGGCATGGTGGCTCATGCCTGTAATCCCAGCACTTGGGAGGCCGAGGCGGGCAGATCACCTGAGGTTGGGAGTTCGAGATCAACCTGACCAACATGGAGAAACCCCATCTGCACTAAAAATACAAAATTATTAGCCGGGTTTGGTGGCGGGTGCCTATAATCCTAACTACTCGGGAGGCTGAGGCAGGAGAACTGCTTGAATCTGGGAGTTGAGGTTGCCTGACCAACATGGAGAAACCTCGTTTCTACAAAAAAAAAAAAAAAAAAAATTAGCCAGACATGGTGTCGCATGCCTGTAATCCCAGCTACTTGGGAGGCTGAGGCAGGAGAATTACTTGAACCCAGGAGGCGGAAGTTACAGTGAGCCGAGATCATGCCATTGCACTCCAGCCTGGGGAACAAGAGTGACGCTCTGTCTCAAAAAATAAAAGTTAAAAAGTGGGAGATTTTATTCTGAACTACTGAGAGGGAGGGGTGGCTGACAGCAGCCCCACTTCAGTGAGAACCTTCTGACCCTGGATTTGTTTCCTGCTCTTCAATGAGAACTGTCTGACCCTGGATTTCCTTCCTTCTCTTCAGTGAGAACCGTCTGACCCTGGATTTGTGGA